CGGGCTAACTGCCATAACCCCAACTCATACCCATCCAAGATCCGCTAAACAGCCGGATGTAGTGGGAAGCGCAGCCCAGCCTTAATGGCCGCCTCGTAGCAGCCAAAGCAGGCGCCATCATAACTGGTACCAGCCGGCCAGACGACTGTGTCTTCTGGATCTGGCACGAACACTAAAAAGTCGGGGCCCATTGTGTGGTTTGCGATAAAGCTCTCCACTTTCTCTTGCATGGCCGTGATCCGGCCCCAAGGTACCGTGCAGTAGTAGGGGGTATTTTGCTCTCGGTGAGAGGCGGATGGCTCCGCCCAATCGTCCCCCTTCTCAACTGCGTGAGAAAGCCTCGCCTCTTGTAGGCGACTGTTTTTCTCTTCTGTGTCCAGAGAAGCATGGCCAGAAGAGCTAGACTCGGATTCGTCCTCTGACGAGTCCGAAGAGGACGACTCCTCCCCTCTCCCGGAGGGGCCCGCCTCCTCTCCTTTCAAAGGAGCAGGAGAGAATGTAGAATTGTCAACTGTAAAATGGGAAGGGGTCACTTTGACTCCTCCCTCAGAACTGCCGGCTTTCAAGCCGCTTTGTTTCACTTCCACATCTGGCGCCTGGTCAGATGTTTCACTAATCGGCACCCTGTGGGAGGAGCCGTCTGAGTTTGAGATCTTGGCAGTCTTTTTTGTTCTGGCCATCATGCTCTGCATAGACACAAATACAGTCAGACTTTGTATAAAGGGCAAAGATGGGTCCAGAAAAGGGCAGGAGGCACTCCTAGTCCTAGATTCAGTCGTCCCCGGTGACCGGCTGATCACTAACCTAGGTCGTGTCGTGTGCTTCCGTGGTGCCATTTCAAAAAAGAATAAAGTAAAGAGAAAATTAAGAGTAAGAGAACCGACGGTTACCTGAACGAGTGACGATTGATGAAGTTCTGAAAATCCTTTGCAGTCGGCTTGTCAGAGCAGGCGGTAGGCAGAAAGGGTCCAAAATGTCAGAGCAAGTTCAGGGGTCCGAATGTTCTCTCACAAAGTTTTCAAGTGTGAAAATGACCGAAGTCAACACTCCTTTATATAGGCGAAGTGAGAAGGCGAAGGGTCACTTCCAGAATTCAAAATTTTGGCGGGAGAATCTCTCGGCCTCTCGCCGAGTGACACCTGTAGCAGGCCGTCGCCTGTTACAGGGCGATACCTGTCACAGGTAACACGTGACCAGTCACGTGCCACCTGTGAGGGGCAAATGATTAGGAGATTTTGCTCCCACCAATCGGAATGCGCCACGTGAGCCAATCAGGTCCTGCCAAGTGTCCCCTAGTTGGACCTCTCAGGGCTTGCCACGTGGAACACGCTTATTCGTCCACCCTGGACTTATTATGTCATGACACGTGGCATACTCCATGCCTAATGGAGAAGCCGGTCACCTAGGCCCAACTTCCGAGGGAAGCCCAATCAGCCCAAGGTTAACCTAAACCTAGATTGGCACGTTTCCTAAGGTTATAAATACCTCCCTTAATCCTCATTAAGGGAGATAACACAGATTACACACATTAAACACGCTCACCTAGAGAGACCCAATCACTTTAATTTCCGCATTAATTACTCCTTAATCAAGTACTAACTTGACCGTCGGAGGCGGATCTCCAATCATCTGGAGCATCCGTTTGTTTTGCAGGTACAGGCGTCCGGTTCCAGTCTCGGAATTGTAACTCTCCCGCAGGACATCAGAAAACCCCGAAACAACTGTGGTTTTTATTTTCAATATAGAATTGTAGGTAGAAAAAACCGACACACATAAGGAATACAAATAAAATAAATAAATAGTTAAAAATACAGCTGCTAAGTGCTAACTGCTACCGTAAATACAACCCACATACAGAGTACAACTGAAAATAAAAAAGAACAGCTACTGAAATTATGGTGTAACAGAAAAATACAATAAAAATACGGCTGTACACGTATTGAATAACCGACTATACAATACTCGTATATAAATACGATCACCCACAACAAGTCAACTATTTCCCCCCATTATTTATATTTATAAATAATAGATAATTTCTCCCAAATTTCCCTCCACATTTTGATTTCCCCCTTTCTTACTTTATATTTAAAGTTTGTAGTCTTACAATTAATCTTCGTGCTACATTGCTTGAATTTCTTATCTAACTCATTCGTTTAACATTGTGATATATTTAACGAAATTGGCAATGTTTTAGATAATTGGGTTAATATATAGGCGGTTTCTCATTGCTTCATCCATTACAAATTCTCCCAATCCAACCCTAATTTGCTGCCAATTTTTTCCATCGAACCCTAATTTTAGGAGCTCTTTCCCAAATTAAAGTCAAGAAGAACCGCAATTCCCAAATTGCAGCCAAAGTTTTAAGAATTCCCAAAGTACCGTCCACGTCACCGGTTCAGGGGGAAGAAATTTTAAATCCGGTCTACAGCAAAACCGCTACCTGAAGTAGCGGTTTTTACTAATAAACCGCTACTTCAGGTAGCGGTTTCTTTTTAATAAACCGCTACTTCAAGTAGCGGTTTTTGTTTAATAAACCGCTACTTCAAGTAGCAGTTTTCTAGCAGGTATAATTTCCTGATTTCACTTTCCTCTTTCATTTTCGTCTTCTCACCAAAATCCCATCCACGCCTTCCACCAAAATCACACCTCCTTCAACGGAAGCCGGCGCAGCCAAGGAATCCACCGACGCCGCCGGAGCATTCCTCAGCAACGAAGGCCGCCGCTGTTGACGCCGAGGGTTCGACTTTAGTGGTCGGCTTCGCTAATTTCAGAAGAAACGTGCTGATCTTCTTGTTTGTGGTAAGTGCCCTAATTATTTTTTGTATTCAGTTATTGGGTTTGTTGTTGTTATTGAGTTTGTTGTTGTTATTGAGTTTCAGAATTGTATGTATGTGTTGTTGTTGTTGGTTTTGGTTGTGTTGTTGTTGTTAGTGTTCTTGTTTATTGTTGTTGTTATTGAGTTTCGGTTTTGGTTGTGTTGTTGTTGTTAGTGTTCTTGTTTATTGTTGTTGTTGTTGAGTTTCAGAATTGTATGTATGTTTGTGGTTGGTTTTGGTTGTTGTTGTTGATTTACTTACCTTACATATAACCCTTGTAGAATTATTAATGGTTTCGATCACATTACTCAGTTTAGGTTGCTATAATTGCTGATTTTGAAAGTGAAAATATAGCTTCTATACACAAAGTACATGAGCTCAAAGTACATGTAGTCATGACTTATGCCCATGTTGAGCTTCAAGAGGTATTAAGACCTTCATAGCTCAGTTTAGGTTGCTATAATTGTGTAGTTTGCTTGCTTGATGTTAGGACATTGCCACACTGTTAATGAATTTTTGCAATCTAATATCTTTGATTAATAATGGTCTTTTCTAGAATGAAACATGGAGGTTCCGAACTACCCTCTATATTGCTATTGGGGTGGAGAAATTGTCCACAAAGATAGCGATATAACGTATAGGGGTGGGAATCAAAAATTTGTGTTTGTACATTCTGCGATGACATATTCACAAGTTCTGAACAAGCTATATGAAGAATTGAGTGTTGATCCTAGAGGTGTGGAGTTGAAGGTGGTTATGCGTTATCCTATGGCTGGGGCATATGTTGCAATTCCGTTAAATGACGACAACGCTGTTAGAGCTATGTGGATTGCTGTGACTCAGAGTTCTTCTGTTGCAATGCAATTGTTCATTGAACAAGTTCCAAAGGAGCCAGTTGTGCAAACTAACACTGGTTCCTTTCCGGGGATGGATTTTTTTGGTAGTGTGGATCAACCGTTTTCCACTGGTGTTCAAAGTGTGGGCATAGGGTCATTCACAAGAATGCTTGTTGATCCACATTATGTCAATGACCATCTCTCACAGTTTAGGTCTCCGGCCTCATCGCCTAATGTTGGAACCTCGACAAGCACACAACCACAAGGCATTCTTGATTCTCTTGACCCAAACAATGTTGATGTATTTGGCGATGCAGAGATGAATGACACTGATGAAGATGATGATGAAGAGGTAATTGAAGCTCGTGATAAGGCAATTAAAGGAAGCGCCCCCACTTCAGACTTCAATGAAGTGGCGCAAGTTGATCCTCGTTTGAATAACTCATGGATGTCTTGGTTAGGAAATGAGACATATAACAATGGGGGAGAATTTGAGGTTGGTCAGCAGTTTGACTCATTGCAACAACTGAAAGATGCTGTGAAATCTTACTCCATAGCTAGAAATCAAACAATTCGAGTTGTGGAGGCAGAGCCAGAGAAATATGTTGTTGAGTGCAAGAGGAAAGAACAATGTAGTTGTTCGTGGAGGCTTAGAGGAGTGAAAGATCCAACACTCTCTACGTTTAAAATTGTGAGGTACAACGGCCCTCATGCAAGTAACTGTGTTGGTGACATCGACTCGGGAGATCATAAGCTACTGACTTCCGAGTTCGTTTGCAATGCTCGATGTCGGAAGTTTTCAACGGAGTCTTAAAGGGGGCTCGATGTCTCCCGATAACCGCTTTAGTGCAAATGACCTTTTTCCGGGTTAACTCCTATTTTGCAACTAGAAGAAGTTGGAGTAAAAGAAGACTTGAAGAGGGCCATGAGTTATCGGAAAAGGCTAAGAAGACAATAGAAGCCAACATGGAGAAAGCCACGCACCATGAGGTTGTTGCTTTTGACTATGATGCCATCGGGTTGTATCAGGTTAGGACCGGTCGTGGAAGAAGAAAAGCTGGTAAAGGTGGTAACTCCCACACTGTGAATCTGTTGAGCAAGACATGTACTTGTGAGAAATTGAGAATATACAAGCTCCCATGCTCTCATGTACTAGCAGTTTGTCGTCATAGAAGCCTATCACATGCAGACTTTGTGGATTCTTTTTTCATGACCGCCGAATATAGGCGTTCATACGCGAAGTGTTTCGCACCAGTTCCTGATCCTTGCCACTGGTCAGCTTACAATGGTCCTACTACTATTGCCAACCCAGATTTGAAAAGAGGCCCAGGCCGACGGTCCACTAGAATTCGAAATGAAATGGATGAGCGTCCCAATCGTGTGAAGAAGGCATGCAGTGTTTGTCGGCGACCTGGGCATAACAAGAAGACATGTCCTACTCTTATTGGTGGATTTGGATCATCTGGGTAACATGATTAATTATATATTCTTGTTTAATATTTATGTTTTTTCTCGAACGCTTAACATTAATTCAATTTTTTGTTATCGTGTAGGTCCCATGGAGCCGGTGATTCGTCCAGGCCCAGTTGATCCATCTGTTCTACGCTTGCAGACTTCCCATAGGAGCCACGATGTTTGGAGTGGCGTAGCTGATAGAGTTCTCTCAGTTAGGGAGCATATGGTCAGCGTGGGACGTGAGTGGATGGTAGATGGCGGAGTACTAGAGTACGTTAGGCTTGCTGGGTTTTACGGTGTACATAGGATTTTGGGAGGAGGGTTTTTGCTTGATCGATCTCTTCTTACGGCGTTGGTTGAGAGGTGGAGGCAGGAGACACATACTTTCCACCTAGTGGTAGGTGAGGCCACCATTACTTTACAGGATGTCTCCGTCCTGTTAGGTCTGAGAGTGCACGGCCCTCCTGTCATTGGACCTCCATTTGAGGGATGGCATGACCTAGTTGAGGAGTTGCTGGGAGTTCGACCTGGCCATGATGATAACGGTAAGCCGTTTCTGGAGGGATATACATGTTGACATACTTGTTTTGGGAATTAGATGATTTGGCAGCCATATACTGAGGCGGTGATGGATCGACTTCCGGAGATTTGTCGCTCAGACATGCACATTTGGCGTTCACGGGCACCTCTGATATGCTTTGACGTCGTTGAGTTCCACCTCCCAGACCGAGTCCTTCGTCAGTTCGGGTTAGACCAGCCGATCCCACAGGATGTAGACACGGACGTTGCTCTACACAGGAAGGATCGAAGGGGACAGCGTAATTGGGAGATTCGGCATTCGGACCATGTACACGAGTGGAGTCGACGAGAGGCATTAGTCGTCCAGGGATACCCGTTCACTGGGACTTCTTCCCCGGCCATGACAGAGTACATGGCTTGGTACCGTCGCATCACGAGACTGGTCATTACTCCACCTTCGCAGGAGCGCCCCCCGAGTCATTACCAGCCAGCTACCTCTGACCTCCTGCTTGTATGAACTTCACTTCATTTCAATCTAGTTCTTACGTTTTTGATTTCATTTTACTAACATTAAAACTACACTTAAATGTAGGCACATGCATTTGCTGATTTGCACGTCCAGCTATCGGGATCTACTGAGACCATCTCCCACTTGCCACCAGAGACGGCTATACCATTTGCCATACAGACGATGCAGGGTTTTACATCATTTTGTGGCCAAACCTTGTCTAGGGTGGGGCAGTCACACCTTATTCAGCAGCCTCGACCGTCCACGTCTTCATCTTCTACTGTGCACACTATGCCGATCAGACCACCACCTCATCGTGGAGGCCATTCAGCACGTGCCTTCCGTCCACCGACTCCTTCTCAGCATACTATCATGACATCTCCTCCACTAGTGCATCGCCAGTATCAGAGAAACCGACGGCGTAGCAACACTACGTCTGGGGTTGGAGTTGGCCTGGATGACATTCCAGAGGAGACAGCTGCATCATCTTCATCGTCACCTCATGGGAAGAAGCAACGCCCGAGCTAAGTGTATATTTTGGAACTAAACTAATTTTTTTGTAAATGCTTAGAATTGGATTTTGTTATATTTAATCAATTGAAAAATATTCGACTTTGCAATTTCGACTTCCTTAGATCTTCATAAACTTGTTATTTATGGTGGTTGTGTTGAAAATATGCTATATATCTCATGTTTTTTTTGAGTGATTATGCAAGTTTGAAAAAAAAACCAGTCCAGGGTAAACCGCTACTTCAAGTAGCGGTTTTTCAAAGTAAACCGCTACTTGAAGTAGCGGTTTTCCAAAATAAACCGCTACATAAAATAGCGGTTTTTTGTAAACAAACCGCTACTTCAAGTAGCGGTTTTAAACTAAGAAACCGCTACTTGAAGTGGCGGTTTATTGCAAAGAAACCGCTACTTCAAGTAGCGGTTTACCCTGGACCGGAAAAAAAAAAACCGGTTTTTTAACCAGTGCTTACGTGGACGGTAGAATGGGAAAATAAAAAGATTTGGCTGCAATTTGGGAATTGCGGTTCTTCTTGACTTTAATTTGGGAAAGAGCTCTAATTTTAGTAAAAAAGTCAATTAACATTAACCCTAGTTTGCTGGCTGCATAATAATTGTGGTTCTACAGTGAATAATAACTTAATTGTTATTACGCGGTTTTGGGAATTTAGGGTTTACTAGCGGTTTGTATTGTGGTAAAATGCAATTGTTTGTAATCTTACAATTTTCTTGCTACATGGTTTGTATTCCTTATCTATTTTGGCTTTATTGTAGCAGTTTTATGTGTGAATTTCAGATTGACTTATGCATCTCTGTTATCAGCCTTTTTTTTTTTCTGAAAATAATTCTATTAATAATTAAGATATTGAAAGTGAACATCTATCATATTTGTGATAGTTCATTTCTTCCTCCTCATCGTCGTCATCATCATCTATCACAAAGATTTTGAAAGTGATTATGCAATTTATTTATGAGATGGATGCCTTGTCTACCTTCTATATAAATTATTTTTTAGTGAAATCATTAATCTTAAAAAGTATGCTAATTTAGATTGAAATTCTTCTTCTGTTTGTTTGCATTCTATACCCTTCTTAGTTATTCCCTATAATTTACAATTTTATTGAATTAATCATTTTTCATTTTGGTTTATTAATTGCTTCCTCTACCTCATAGAAAATAGAAAATATGGTCGATTCGATGGAAAAGTGAAAAATAAAATTTCACTGAAAGAGTTTGATGTGTATAAGTTCTAAAGTGACTTTTTTTTTTTTTAATTATATGTGCATAAGCTTGATTGATAGTTAATCACAGTGGTAATTTGGCAATTTGATGTTGTTCTTTGAGAGGGAAACAACGGTATGAAGTGCACTATGATTCCGATGACTCAAAAGTGTAGTGCTATGCATCACTCATCAGTATGTGGAAGTTGTGCTCTTGATAATCTGTCTTGATAATTTTACTTGATTTTTTCAGCATGGTTATTTTATCGATTTGAAAAGTTGAAGATTGCAATTATAGGAGAAGCTTGGAGAAGGATGATGATTATCTTATTGAAAGGTATGCAATTTATTTTTTACTTTTACTTTCAAATATGCGATTTTGGGGTTATGCTTTCTGTGACAATGTAAAAAGCAATTGCTTAATATTTATTCATGAATTATAACTTCAGGCTTTTGCTGTGATGGTTTATTCTGTGAAAATTTTGCTATAATTGCAATATAACTGAATTGGTATTAAGGGATTTAGAGGCTGTTTCAAATTGCTCGACTATGTGAGAATTCACGTTACCTGATGACTTTGTGACTTCTGAAGTGTCAGCGTTTTAACCCCCAACTTTAGCATGGTGCTCACTGCTCAGAATTCACGTTATCTTTGCTCTTTGTAGTTGAGGCTGATTGGTTTTTGATGTTTATTTTGACTTTCCCCTGGTTTGCCACCTTGTCATTTTTCTGTGGTAGGCCTACTGTTGCTGTTGTTATTGATTTCATGAGTGGTATCAATATTGAAAAAGCAAGCTATGTACTGTCACTCTGTCAATGATAGTAGATTAGTGGACTCATCATCGTGAAGTTCTCATTGAAGGTGTTGATTTTGTTAGCTGCTTTTTTTTAAAGGTCTCTTTGGTAAGGAGAATTCCAGAATTTTGTTTTACTCAATCTTGAATATGGCACGTGCCCGAATAGTTCTTGTGATGGAGTATGAAACTAAGCTTGCTTCTTTGTCTCAAGATAATGTTCTTACTAATGTTGACGTCCACTTGAGCTTGCCCCTTACCTTACTATAATATTATGTTGTATTTCTTGCTCCCATACTTTTGATATTGAGTTTTTTAGCGTAGGCATTTGTTGCGATAGTTTTCCTGAGAATTAGTGATGAAAGTCTTTCTCTGCAGCCCTTATAATCTAATATTAGGGCCTATGACAAGGTAAACCCAGTGGGGCAATTCATTTGTGGGGGGTACTCCACCTTTATGAATATGTTTTCTATGTTTCCTTCTGATATTATTCTTTGTGATTTTGTCTATATATATATGAATTTTTTTTTGGTGGTATGCTTCTTATGTTCTTGACTGGGACATTGCACTGTGGACTACTATTTTCTTTTCCAGGAGGCCACCAGTCGGTTTACCACTGACTGCTGCATCAGTAAGGGCTTCTGTCCAACCTCCAACAATGCAAAACTGTTTTCCAAATCCTCTCTTCTCTGAGCTATTTTTCATTGTTTCTCTCTTATTAATATTTTATTTCAATTGGATGATTAATGATTTTTTTTTCGTGTTCTTAAAAGAATAAAATAAACTGGCTCTTGTGAGTGATTGGGTCAAAGGTACTTGTTTTTCTATTTTTGTGATGCAAATTAAACTGCAAATTTAAGTTTTGAATTGAAGTTTTTTTTATGAATTAAGTTTGCAGTCTTTATTTTCAATTTTTTTGATCATATCACTGATGTATTGTAGCTGGATTTTGAATTTATCAGATGCTTAGTTTTTTTCATTATTGCGATTTGGATTAAGTGTTGAAGTGTGAATTGTGATCTATATCAAATGGGTCTCTGTACCATATATGTGATCATTGCTGAATGGGTCTCTATGAGGGTTGATGAGGCAATCAATTAACTGAAGATGTATTTATACAGAAATGTTGAGGAGATGACTGAATCTGATGAGTTCAATGTACTATGATTTATCACTCATATTTCTATGGTGCTGAGGATAGAATTATAATTATTGCAGATCTAATTTTTTATTTATTAGGATTGCATGGAGTGTATGTAGTTTGATTTAAAACATTATATATATATATATATAGGGTGAGGATCCCATGAGAACTCTCGTAACATGAGAACCATGAGAACTCCTCAAATTTAGAACATATGCAATACTTTTTAGAACATAGAAACCTAAACAAATATACATATTCTAAAATTTCAAGGTAATGCTTTCAATTATCGTGTTTAGAACATAACCTTCATAATTCAGAAAACAAAAATTCAAAACATAACCTCAAAAATAAAGAACATAATTTTGATGTTTTAGAACATGACCTTGATATTTTAGAACGTGCATATATGTGTAAGTTTTCATGTTCTAAGAAATGTAACACCTGATCTAAATTTGAGGAGTTCTCATGGTTCTTATATAAAAATAGTTCTCATATGAACCTAAACCATATATATATATATATAGGTTAATAAATTTACCTAAACAGAGTTTCACAGGGTTATCCAATGCAGGTTATGTAAACTGTGAAGTGTTCCACGGGAATCAAAATCACCTAATGATATCTTAGGAAGGTGTATTCCATCTAGTGTAAGCTTGTTTAGGAAGGAGTACCTCATTAAAAGATTTTCAGCTTTGAATCTTAGCAAGTATGGTTACAGTGGTTCTAATGTTCTATTGTGCAATTTTTTTTTAATTAACTTAAACTAATTAGATTTCAAGAGTGAAAATTGGACCAATAGCAAAAGGTAGAGAAGCCAAAGGTTTAAACATAAATAGTCAATAATTTGCCTGATTGATGTTGTTGTAGATTCTGTTTTGTTACAATTCAAAAGCGGGGTTTGATTGCAGTTAGTGCAAACTTATCAAGACTAGTATTGGTTCTTCATTGTGATTATTGGATTTATAACTTTCGGTTTTTCTATGTCTAGGCTTCTAATTGTGCAGCGGGATTATGTTTTGGTCTTAATTATCCAAACTACTATGGGCAGCTTAAAGAATGTCAACGGATAGCTGTTACAACAATGTACTCGCGGAAGATGCTAAAACAATATGCAATAATGGTAATAGCATGGCCAACTCTACTTCATTTGTTGTCATGTGAAAATCTGAATTTGTGCTAGCCATTAAAATTGGATGTCTTCATATTTGTTATATTGTTTATGCTTTAAACTTTTGCATTTTGTACTTGTTGTTAGCTAGCTCAATCATGTCTACATTAATATGAAATTTTGCCCAATCGGCTCACAAGAGAGTCATGTCTTGCCTTTTAACACTTGTTAGTAACTCAAAGTGACATGATACCATTAAATCATTAATTGCAAACGTAATCTCCTATTCGTAATGAATCCACTATATAGATGTCATAATTCAGCAGTACTATGCTGCACAGAAGAGAATTTCTACATATATTAGTCTTTTACAACTTAAAATTACTTGGCCCTCATCAAATTTTAGAATTACCAAATTTTAAGAAAGCAAAAAATGATAAAAAAATAAATGGTGGCATCTTTTCCTGTATGACCGTTTTAAATACAACTCATGATTATCGTAGACTTCTGTGCTAGTTATTTAATTTTATGTTTTCTTAACCCTTTTTTGACAAGCCTACAGCTCAATTGGAAGAGCAGCATGCAAATGGACACGGATGTGGGTTCAAATCCCTCATAGGCTCTTCTATCTTTATATATTTCTGAAGATGAATTGCGTAGAATCGGATGATTTACACGATCAGATATAATCTGAATTCGTGAAGCATAGATTTTTGAGGAACTTGAAAACTGTTGTTAATACAACCTAGAAAAATGGAAGGAATATTATTGAGGAGATAGAGAAATAGTATATTGTATAGCAAAGAATTGATTGGCAAAATTAATATAGTATAACCAATTTAAACTGTAATGGAAGTGAAAATATATAACAAAATTTTACCTAAAACGCTAAACCATGTGTAAGACAAGTAGCATTTTTAAAGAAATTAGAGTATTTGGGTCTTGAAAGCTAGAATGGTGTCTTATAAAATAAGTTGCTCAGGTTATACGAGGCTTAGTAGCAGATAGCATTGAAAGCTTTGTTAACTTATGTTATAAAAGTTCTTTGAAACTTTCAAATGTCATTATGCCAGAGCAAGTTACTAGTGGTAATGACAAGTTGTATGAGGCTCCGGAAATTTTTCCTGAAAGTGACTGTATGAACCCTGAAGTGTCTGCTTTTAGACCCACAACTTTGGAAGGGTATGTGATCTGCTTGAAAACCCTTTTCAATTTACAACTGAAAACTTCCCTTTTTATTGTAAAACTGATAGGATGGTGAGTTACTATCCCTGTGCTTGGCAGCTGAGTCTAATTGGTTCATGATGTCCACTCTGACTTTCTTGAGGTTGCTGCAGGCGTTGGTGACACTTAGCACCCTATCATTTTCTGTCGATAGGCCTACAATTACTGCTGTTATGGATTTTATGTGTGGTATCAAATGTTGAAGAAGCAAGATATGAAACTGTCAGTGACAATAAATCAATAGACACTCATCAACATGAAATTCCTGTTGACAGTGTTGATCCATCAACTTCTGTTGCACTGTCTGTTTGCCAAAGGTCTCTTAAGAAGGGGGTAGTTTAGAGTAATTTGAGCTTGGTCTTGAATATGGCATGTGCACAAATAGTTCTTGTGATGGAGGATAAAACTAAGCTCACCACTTTGTCGCAAGGTAATCCTCTTACTGATGTTGAGCTTTACCTGATCTTACCTCTTACTTTGATATTTAATTATGCTGTGTTTGTTGCTTTCATTCTTTTGAAATTGAGTTTAGCTGATCTGAAGTTGTTCTTCTTAGGTGTTTCCTTCTTCGTTGAGTGTCAAGGCTGCCATAGGTAATCTGAGTATACATCATGACAATATTTCTCCGGAGCTCCTATAATCTTAGGGCCTGTGTCATGAGAATCCTGGGAGGAGTTCATTTGTAAAGGTACTTGACTTTGGTGAATATGTTTTCCTTGTTCCCTTCATTTTTTTCCCTGTGGTTTTGCCTTTATATCTATGAATGATTTTGGTGGTATATGTATACCTCTTATGATTATGGGTTACCATGTTTGTCATGGAGATTGGGTTATCATAGCTCGACCAGGTGGCTTTGGGTCTCTTCCAATGTCCACTGGTCAAGTTGCTTCTCTGACTGCCTCTCCAGGAGAAATTAGTGATAGACTTCCAATGTGCTCAGCTGGGACATTTCCTGGTGGACCATGTTATTCTTCTTTAGGAGGCCCACAACAGCCACCAGTTGGCCTTGTATCCACTTCTGCATCAGTAAGGGCTTCTGTCCAAGCTCCAACTATGCAAAATTGTCCTCCAAAACCTCCTTTCTCTGAGGTAGTCTTCTTTCTTTCTCTTTTATTAGTACCCCTTTAATTCGATAATTGATATGAGAAAAAATTAAAATGTAATTTGCAACTTTTCAAATATCTGGTGCTTGTAATAATGCAAAGCTGTTTGACGAATTGGATTCTGCGTGCAAGATTATGCGTGATTGGGACAAAGGTACTTGTTTATCTATTTTTGATACAAATTATAATTTGAATTTCAGTTGTTCTATACTGTCAAGTTTTGAATTGATTGAAATTTTTTGATATGTTGAGTTTTGTAGTATCTACTTATTTTTTACCAATCATATCTCTAGGAATTGTAGCTAGATTTTGAAATAAAAGTAATGTTAACATTTGTGACTGACTGTAGGTCAGTCACTATAAGGTGCTCAATAGATGTTAATGGATTGTGTAGCCTAAGAAGGAAGTTATGGTGGGCAGTTCAACGTATTAAGATATGGTTAGAATAATATTGTCGTGTTGCTACTGTGCATGTTGAATTATTCTGTGTATGTGTTGTATCTAATGCAGTTGAAATAATGAGCTGGCAGCACAACATTTTGTCCCTAATGGATCTCAAATCATAGATCATCACCATGGCTAACATCTAGATCGTGGAAAGAACAGAGATAATAAGAAGAGCAAGGCAATAGCCTAGTTTTCTCACAGTGGCTCTTCAACATTGTAAGAACTCTTTTTTCCATTTCTTTTCCCTATCCCACAACTTTGATATTATATACTGTGTTGAACATAGTCAGTATGATTTGTGTTTACTTAACATTCTCTTTTTGTTCCATTGTGTATTCATAAAAGTTATAAACGATATGCTGTTTCTATATTCATCATTGTGGTAGCTTCTCAAATGGTTGTATTAAGGCATATCTTGTATGGCTTAAAGAGTTTGAGATAAGTTTCATAGATCTGAATACTATATGATTGCTTCTTTTTTTTTTTTTCTTTTTGGTATGTGTTCATGATGAAGTGTATTTTTATCTTGTTATTCCAAAGTCTGAACATAAGAAGAAAGTTTGTCCTGAGACTGCCTTCTAGGACTCAGTTACAAAGTTCTACTGGACATTGATGACTGTGAATTCCTCAGATAAGAATTATTTATCTGATGATATTCTAAAGATTTGTAAGCTTTATTTTATAACTAAATTTATTAGCACTACTTGTTAGCTTTGGCACCATTACTGTTCTTCTTTTCAGGTCTTTTGACTTCCCAAACTTCCAATTCAACTTATCAGATTTTTTGTAGTTTCAGCTTGTATATCATTGTTCCTTTGTTTTTTCTGATTTTCGATTTATATCAAAAGACTAACCAAGCTGAACTGATCCTACTTAAGGCTGCAAACAGGTTTATCATTTGTGATATACCACTATTATATGCAGTTGACCGATGTGAAATTTTCCAATTTCTAAAACATAAGGTTGGTTTATAGCTCTTCCCCCTTCCCAAGACTGGTCTTGTTAACATGTTTGATGACTGACATCTTTGCTCATATTTTACCTTGATATTGGGTTGATGGAGTGGAGAAAAGTTCCAGGTTGCCTTTGCTTGTATGCAAGAGCAAGGATAATGTGATAGTTTATTTTCAGTGTCGCGGTATAGTCATTCATTATGCTTGTCAGCTTGAATGATTGAGACGAGTTATCTTGAGAATCTTTGTTTTAAGGGTCTACTCATTTTAGCTGAAAAGAATTGAATTGATCGGAGCTGAATTGAATTGAGCTGAAATGAATTGTTTATGAGAGAAGGATATTAGAAACTGAACTAAACTGAAAATAAGTTGAAGTGAACAGGCCTTAAGATGCAATTTTTCCTTCAGTTTACCAAACGGAATTTACATCATTGTGGTATCATGCTATTGAACAGTCAGCTTTTATAAAGGTGACATAATATATCTTACTTGTGCATTATTTCAGGATAAACTTCATCCAATTGCTGGAAAATGGATTTAGTGCATAGTCCATTTGTTTCCGCGTCTTGGCCGGTGTGGAATGAAGACGTATCGCAAATTGTTTGAAATCCACTACAACCTTTAATAGACTGTTATGAGTCAGGAAACAATCAACAACCATCTTTGGCCATGATATGAAAGCTTGAGCTACAGGACTATTTCACGCATGGTGCATGTTTATATATGCTTGTATTATTTAAGTGCTATTTTTTAATGTCTCAGAATTTTTATGCTAATTGTCTTCCTCTTTGCATAATTATGTTCTTTTTAGGCTAAATAACCTTTTGCATGATTATGTATCAAGACTTAGATTCCTTGCAAATTATAAGTCATATTAAGATTACTAGGCTTCTAACTTTATGTGCGTTAGCAATGATGAACTAATATAGAATTACCTCGTGTAGGTAAAATGGAATTCCACAGCTAATGTTCTGTTCTACTTCCTATTTAAGTTGTGTATTATTTTCTCTTTGTTTCTTGCCTTCTTTTCCATTCATTTATGTCACCCCTATGTACTACACACACACACACATATATATATATATATATATATATATATATATATATATATATATATATATATATATCTATGCAATAATTCATTAAGATGCTTCATCTTTTGGAATTCTCTTTCTTTCTTCTCTGCTTTCTTTTTTGTCCACTTGTAACTATTTCGTTACCATTCCAAAACTCCTCCTTTCAACTATGCCACCAGGATGAGAAGATGGCTTTGCTTCAATTCAAAAATGGCTTCACTATTCACCCTCATTTTTCCGAAATGTACGATTTTGGTTCATCTTATCCAAAGACAAAATCTTGGAAGGAAAATAGAGATTGTTGCTTGTGGAATGGTGTCACTTGTGATTCCACTTCAGGTCATGTTATTGGACTTGATCTTAGTTTTAATCAACTTGGCGGGATTATCCACTACAATAATAGCACTCTCTTTCACCTTACACATCTTCAGTACCTTAACCTTGCTTATAACGAATTTCACCCATCGCATATATCCCCAAAATTGGGACATTTTTCAAGACTGAAAGTTCTAAACCTCTCACACTCTGGTTTTATCGGTTATGTTCTTATTGAAATCAGTCAACTTTCTCAACTTGTTTCCTTAGATCTCATTATTATGTCAATAGAGTGGGATAATCTCGTTGGGCATTTCGCTACAGATGCTGACTATCCTTATACTTTTTCAAGAATTAAAATTTCGCATTTTGATAAAATTGTAAGAAATCTTACTAAGTTGAGACAACTCCATCTTAACGGTGGTGTAATTAATTCAGCCTTCCCCAAAACATTGGTCAACCTCTCTTTATCCTCTCTAGAGCTGTATGATTGTGGCTTGCAAGGAGCCTTTCTCTCTAACATTTTGAGCTTACCACACTTGCGATCTCTCAAAGTCGGATAAAATCCTAATCTAAATATTGATCCCTTAGTGTTCAACAACTTGAGTAGTTCATTGCAGGTGATACATTTCACCGGCACTAATTTATCAATTAGGTTGCCTGAAATTCCGAGTGAAAGGAAACTACGGCAATTGAGCCAATTTTCAGCATCCTATTGCAACATTTCTAGAACTATTCCTACGAGGATTTGGAAGACAACGGAAATGCTTTGGCTAGAAAATAACCAATTAATCGGGGAATTACCCTCTCCATTTAACACAAAAGAGTTTTCACAATTAAGGTCCCTTAGTCTATCAAACAACTTGTTAAAGGGGTCCATACTGTCTTGGTTAATGAATCTTCCATCTCTAGTACAGTTGAATCCTTCTAGCAACCAATTTGGAAAAACCAATGGATGATTTCCAAAAGATAATTGTCTACTAGAAGATCTTGACCTCAGCTCTAACAACTTAAGCCTTCCCCTCAATATTTTCTCCTAGTGCAATAATGTAGTAAATATTAACCTATCAAATATATCAAGGATTGAAGGGCTCGACTCTACATTTACTTGGCCTAATTTATCCACTTTGTACTTGTCTTCTTCTAACATTACCGAATTTCCCAAAATCTTAAATTCCTAACAACTTATAAGAATTTTGGATCTCTCCAACAATAGAATCCAAGGTGAAATCTCAGCTGGGATGTACGATGTTAGAAAAGATTTATTGGAGGATTTAAATATTTCTCACAATAACTTTACAGGAGGTTTAAATCTTCCTTCTTACAAGAGCTTAGAATACATTGATCTTCTCTCTAACTCTTTATAAGGTTTGCTTCTTTGCCACTACCCAACACCACTGTGTTTTTGGCTTCCAATAACAAATTTCATGGGGAGATAACCTCATCATTTTGTAACTTGACACAATTGAGCGATGTTGACCTCTTTAACAACCACTTGAATGGCAGAATACCCGAGTGTTTAGAAAAGTTGAGTCATAGCCTAGAACTCTTGGATTTGGGGTCTAATAAATTTCATGGGAACAGTCCTTTGACATTTACAAAGCATTGCACCTTAAAGAGCATACACTTGAATAATAATCAATTTGAAGGGGCGATTCCACTATCTTTGAAGAGATATAAGAGTTTAGAAGTACTTGATCTTGGTAATAATCGATTCAATGATTCCTTTCCACACTGGCTAGATAATCTCCCAGAGTTAAAAGTCCTTGTCCTCCAATCAAATAATTTTCAAGGTTCAATAAGAGATGAGCTAAGGCTAATAAACATCCATTTCCTAAGTTGCAAATTCATGATCTTTCTAAGAACCGCTTATCTGGAAAGCTCCCAGTTAAATACTTTAGAAACTTCACGGCAGTGATCATAAATAATGATGCTGGACATACGGAGAGTAGAAATTATGTAGGTGTTTCGGATTATTATGAGGAGTCTCTTGTGTTGACAATGAAAGAAATGACATTAACATACAAAATCTCAACCTTTCTAATATCCTTGGATCTCTCAAACAACAAATTCAGGGGAGAAATCCCAGATTTTGTTGGTGAACTTCTTGCACTTGTAAGCTTGAATGTATCATACAACCAGCTAACAGGCCATATACCCCCATCACTAGCCAAATTAACTTCGCTTCAGTCTCTAGACTTGTCTTGCAATAGGCTTGAAGGAAATATTCCACCACAGTTGGTTAGTCTCACTTTTCTTGAAGACTAAAATGTTTCCTAGAATAAGCTATTAGGGCCAATCCTTGAAAGCACTCAACTCAGTACACTTTCAAGTGATTCTTACGTAGGGAACTTGGCTTTGTGCGGATATCCATTGCAAGATTGCGGAAAAAGGGGCGTACTTGATCATCAATCTGTGTCAAAACAAGAAGTATATGATATTGTCGATATCATAACAAGTATAAGCTTGTGGGAAATAATTTTGATAGGGTTTGGCCTAGGAACAACTTTGGGGTTGGTTGTTGGATATCGTATACTTTCATCAGAGAGCTCTAATTGGTTTTCTAGAAAGGTGAATAGGTTTGAATATGTAATTGCGCAAGGGTTCAAGAAGCATTCGAGAAGACGACAAAGGAGGACTTGAAACAATATAGCTTAGACTTAGAGACTATTACTGCTATGTAGTAGCGGACTACTGTTTTCCTTTTCTTTTAATTTTTTGTGTTTTCCTCTAGTTTTTAGCTTGACTGTTTACAATAAGTGATTTCTACCATCTGTATTATCCGCACTCAAATTTCATGCACAGTGTTTAAACTTCAGATTTCATAGGATTCAAGATTTTTCATATATAGAGTATTACTCTGTCATTTTAATGATCTTCCATTCTCAAAATATGAGTGTTGCACTTTTACACTCATGTTGAGCCCATGAACAACCCACATGTGAGTGTATGTATTGTCTCATACTATTGAGTTTCGAATTAAGGGGGAGAGTTGGGGTGATGTTACCTACATTGAAAAAATAAGTAACTTGTATCCACTTTAAAAGGCTAAGGGGCTACCCCCTCATAATTGCCATGTGATTTTGAGGTGAAACCTCCTTGTTCTTGTAAATGAGATTTGTAATCTCCGTGGCGGGCGCAGCCCAGGCCTGTTAAACAACTCATTAAATTGTATAGCAAATTTTCTAGAAATTTTAACTAGATTATAGGCTTCATATTGAAATAATGAAATTTATTTGTTCAATTGAGTTCAGTTGGCTATCTCTTACTCTCCATTCCAAGTAATCCTGTGATCAATTCTCTTCCCTCTCTTGTCCTTATAGCATCATTAAATGTCTAAGTAGAGGGTTATAACTTATATTTGTACGACACATACTTCCTTTAAAAAAAGAATTTTGATATATTAGTACGGATTTGGTCTTTATTGTAATGATAAATACAAAAGAATATTAATTATCTCTTACAAACAATATCCTTTTGTTGAAAATAAAATGAAACGGAGGAAGTACTTGAATCTTGTAAATCTTACAAAAATTTGAAAAACAACTTGTCAAATTGGTTAAAAACAAATTGTATGCAATGAAGGAACAAGACTAGGTTTAAGAAAACTCTAAGTCAAAGTAAAACATGCTTTCTCTTTATATTGAACGAGTAACCAACTAGGGTTAGCATTAGTGGTTAATGGTCTCATACTCCTTAATCAAGATTTTTCATATATAGAGTATTACTCTTTGTCATTTTAATGCTCTTCCATTCTCGAAATATGAGTGTTGCACTTTTGCACTCATGTTGAGCCCATGAACAACCCTCATGTGAGTGTATGTGTTGCACTTGTCCCATACTATTGAGTTTTGAATTAAGAGGGAGTGTTGTGGTGATGTTGATATATATGTTCTCAGATGAATTGGGCAATTAGAATTAATTTCAATTGAAGTAACAGTACTTTTCAAAGTATTGTATAAGTTAACCTTAACAATAAGAGGTTTTAATGGGTAATCTAGTGATTATTGAGCTTAGTTTCGATACGTAGGACATGTGGATTGAAGGGTAGCTTAGAGAAGAATGCAGTATGAGTTTGTTTCAATTGATTAGTGTTAATGATGTAAGATAGATAGATTTCTGATTGGGGTTTAACTGATAGTAATTTACTTGGCCTGTTAATATGCTATTGTAATAGATTGGAAATATGGAATGAGATTGGGATTGGGATGATATTTGAATTGTCATTACTCTTAGTAATGCTGACTTTGTAATATTGTTGGATTTGGCCATATGGGTTGCAGGGTTGATGGGTATGTCTCGGTGTCGTTCTTGACCATTTTCTCAAAATTCTGCATCTTTTGTTCGAAATGTAAAGTGTCCATTCTCATGATACTTGTTAATGTAGGATGAGAATGACTTTGCGTCGTCTTATCCAAAGACAAATTCTTCGAAGGCAGATAGAGATTTTTTATTTATTTATTTATTTATTTATTTATTTTTAACCGATAAGGTCAACGGAGGCCCCATTTATGGTTTATATACCAGGATTAGACCTATTCAATGGGTTAGGGGCCCATTTAAAGCCTTGACCCAGCCCTTTTATAAAAGGGTTTTATCCATCCAATATTTAAACGGGGCGGGCTTTTAAAGGGTTTTTAAATAAGGGGCTTTTAAAGGGTTGGATCTAAGTTAAAAAGGGCTGAAATTGGGTAACTCTTATGAGACTTTTTTTATCCTAATTTTTCTATTTCTAAAACTTTCTAACATCAATTGAAGATTATAATTTAATCTAGCATGCAGGCAAAGAATTGAAGAAAAATTTAAAACAACTTATAAGATTTTTTGGGCTTGAATCTTGATCAAATTTTTCCAACAAACTAAGAGTGACCGCACTGAATTAAATTCCCCGAAGCATAATTAAGAGACAATTTTTGGCAATTTTTTTGTGGTTGTTTCCATTGCTTAATTTCATCCTACTAACCTTAACAATGGCATCCTGCTTATGAGATTTCACCTTCTTCACATGGGATTTGTTAAACATCGCCCACAGAATACTACATAAAACCCACAAAATTAATATGATTTGACAGTTTTGCCCCTTTGTCAATTTTCTCTGAACACCGAAAAATGTGGAGTCGTACGGGGATGGGGGACGACGAATGTCATCGGAAAAGACGGCTGGCATCCGGAGGAGCCGCCACCACCGCGGCACCGGCGCCTGGCCGGGACGCCGCCACCATGGCGGTGGCGCCTAGCCAGGACGCCTGTACCATGGTTGAGGCTTCCAGGCCAGGCGCCATGACCATGGTACTGGCGTCCCGGCTAGGCGCCACCACCATGGTGGCGGCGTCCCGGCCAGGCGCCGGTTCCAGGGTGGTGGTCCGGCCATATTATTTTATTTTTTTGTTTTTTTGTTTTTTTTTTTTTTTTTTTTTTTTTTTTTTTACATTTGACTTGCTTAAAATTCAAAATAAAAAATTTTCTCAGTTACTAATAAAAAAAAACAAAATATTAAAAAAAAAAGAATTTTTTTTTTTCTCAATTCCAACAAAAAAAACATAATATTACACAAAAAAAAAGAAAACAAAAAAAAAACATGATAATACACAAAAATAGAAAAAAAAAACTCAATTTCCAACAAAAAAAAACATTATACAAACAAGCAAAAAAAAATTAAAAAAAAAATAACAAAACAACCACGGCAAGGCGGTGGGGCGCCTGGCCAGGACGGCCGATGGCTGGTGGTGGCGCCAGGTCCGGCAGCCACGTCCACTGACCTGGGCAGGACGCTAAGCCACAGTGACTGGCGCCTGTCCCAAACGCCACTCACCGTGGCTGGGCGTCCTGCCCAGACGCCAGGCCGGTGGACGTGGCTGCCGGACCTGGCGCCACCACCACCTGGCCGCCACGAGCCAACCCTCCCTCCTCCGCAGCCGCCACCAACTCTTTGCCTTGCCACCTCGATATCCCCGTACTTTGATTTTTTTTGAGGTTGTGTTTTTTTTTAAGGTCAAGGGCAATATTGTAACTTCAATATAAGTTTGCGGGCTATATGTGGAGATTTGCGGGCGATGTTTAGCAATCCACCTTCATATTCATTAACTTTCATCTTCACATTGCTTCCCATTCGAAATTGTACTACCTAATCTGATTTCAAATTCGCTCAATTAAACCGATCATGCAACAAAATTACGTAGTTTTGAAGTTAGATCTAGATATTTGCTTTGTAATTTTATTTCTAAGGCCCTTTATAAGGCCCCTGAAAGACCCTTTATAATTATCTTATATTGTGTTTACTTCATGATTGTTGTAGTTTGTTTATACATTTTGAATGGGCTGGGCTTAATGGCCCATGGACAAGCTCGGCCCATTTCAGAATAGGCTTGGCCCGGCTCGGCCCATTTTATACAAAGCCCGGCCCAGCCAGCCTGGCCCGTTGAACAGGTCTAATCAGGATTTACCAAAGTGGCATAGCCCCAGGAGAAAGGGGGGTACGAGGTTTGATCCCCCGCCACAATGGAAGGAGATGGAACATGGCTCCACGGAGCCATGCTTATAAAGTTATACCTCAGGCAAATAGAGATTGTTTCTTGTGGGATGGTGTTACTTGTGACTCTACCTCAGGTCATGTTATAGGACTTTGACCTCAGTTTTAGTCAACTTGGCGGGATCATCCACCTCAACGGCTCTCTTTCATTGAATAGTACCCCCATCACGTTGAACATACATATACAGATATATGGAATACTATTGAAATGATATTTCTCTTTGTATGATTTTCTTTCAATTGATAATTGTCAATGATTTAAGATAGATAGAATTCAAATGAAATTTCTCTTTGTATGTTTGCAAATTTCATTTGAATAGTACTCTATAGTTACGTTGAACATTGTTTTTTACGAGTCTGGTTTTTCTACGCTTATGCGTGGTCCAATCGTACGTTTTCCGCTTATTGTAAAATGTGGAATGGAGATCGCTAGACTTAAGCACACACTTGAAAGTCCAGTTCCTTTAATTAGTTTACACTTGAAAGTCATGACTTCTTTTATTCATATATTGTGCATGTGTATTTAATGGCTTCCTGCTCCTATGATTCAACAAGTGCATGAGTGTGGGCCTGCTTATTATCTAGTTTCGTAGAATTTTTATGCTTATTGTTTTTCATGATTATGATAGACATGTTTGTATGTCTGCAGTAGAAGACTTAGATTCCTTGCAAATTAAAAGTCGTGTGTTGGGCATACAAGAATGTTCTAACTATCTGTTTGCGATTATGTCACCCACTATAACAAGTTTACAAATTTGGATCGTAATTTTTTAATTTACATTGTAAAATTAGCTCAAAAATGTAATTGTACACCATACATTAACCAATATGGATATCCAAGATCACTCATATATGATAATATGATCCAGGGGGAATTATATCACTACAAAACATAAAGTGTTTAGCTACATAATTTACCTATGGAATGCATATCCGATCCATAGCTAAAATAGCTACAAAATTCAAAATTTCCCATGCAAAGGAAGCTAGCTACGAAATTTCAATTCTATATCTAAATAAAGGTGCAAAGTTCTATTTTATGTAGCTAACTTAGTTGTACAAATTAAATTTTCCGTAGCTAATGATTTTAAATCTGTGTAGAAATTTTTTATATTGGGTCTTCCATTCCACTACCCCAGTAACTTGCATTATGAACCCTAAAAACACCAAACCCAAGTACACAACCCCTTGTTTATTTTCATTCTGCCTCACTTCTATCTTATTACTATTTGTAGGTCTTGAACTAAGAGCATCTTTAAGGGTGAACATTTTAATAGTTCACAATGAGTGAACAAATAAGGTGGTGGCTTAATGGCAAACTCTTTAATTGTTCATGTTGAGTGGTCAAGGGTTCGATTGCAGGAGCAAGCACTTGCATGAATTAATTCGCTGTGGGCCCCACCAATATTTTGGACTGATATTCATGCAAAACGACGTCGTTTTGCTGTTTCATGTTGCAAAACGACGTCGTTTTGCTGTTAAAGGTCAGAAAAAAAAAATAGAAATCAGCGGCTGGGAGCGCGCCACTTGGCCCAGCCGCTGCTTGACACGTGTGTACTGTTTTAAATATATCCGTTGTAATTTTACAACGGATATATTTTACAAAATACAAATAAAAAAAAAAAAAAAATTACCAACGACTCTATTTTTTTCCCCTCTATAAATAGACACCCATATTGATATACTTTTTTCAACTTTGAAAATTCATTTTTTTCTACTATGTTTTTCTCTTCAAAAATCCCCTCTATAATTACCAATATTATTATTATTTATACCAATATTAATATTATTATTGTTATTATTATTTTTAATTATTATCATTAATATTATTATTATCGTTACTATTATTTTTATTATTATCGTTATTATTATTATTATTATTATTATTATTTTTATTATTATCGTTATTATTATTATTATTATTATCGTTATTATTATTATAATTATTATTATTATTATTATCGTTATTATTATTTTTATTATTATTGTTAGTATTATTATTATTTTTTATATTTTTATTTTTTCCAAATATAAATTATAATTATGGATGCTAATACCAACCCCAAAACAAATAGAAAGAAGAAAAAAAATTTGGGTCAAAATATGATGAATTCAAACAGTTTAAACGAAAGCTCAACCGATTCCTCTTCATCTTCATCTAACTCGGATGATGAGGGAAGGGAGCTTAGAGTTCAACAACGTAATGAAGTGTGTCTTATGATACAACACGTAATGCATGAGTACATTCCACCAATAATTCAAGCTGCCACTCAGCAATGCCGACACAAATCTACTGAGCCCCGAAAGGATAGGGGACGCGAAGAAGGTCATGCACAGTTATTTGCAAAACACCAGGAAGCTGCAAGGAAAGACGTTGAACGCGCATTTGGGGTCCTTCAAGCTCGTTTTGCCATTATTAAAAAGCCGTCTTTGGCGTGGGATACCGACATACTCCACAATATCATGCTCGCCTGCATCATAATACATAATATGATCGTTGAAGATGAACGAGAGACGTATCAAAATAACGTTAATACCAATGAGTTTATGAATGCTGGAGGCAACGCTAATGAGGACACTACCGAGTACCGTACTGATCGTATTGTGGATATCGGCTTATACTTGTCTCGTAGAACAGAGATTGAGGATCAACAGACTCATTTGCAGCTAAAAAACGACTTGGTCGAACATATATGGAATAAATTTGGTAACAACGAAAACTTAGGCAACTAGGTTTACAACAAATGGTTATCCTTAAGGACATCTTACAAAACGATGTGTAGTTGTTTTTTTTTTAAATAAAATGTACTAGATTATAGTTGTAGAACTGTAATCACGATTTGTACCTCTTTTTTTTGTTAATTAAAATTAGCTGCGTTGTTGTTTAAAAAATATTAATCACAATAATTAGTTTTTTAAAAAGCTGATAAAAAATGCGATAATTTCTTAATTAGTAATCACGATTAAAATATTAAATACGTCAATTAATTACATTGACATCGGGTTAATAAATTATAATTATGAAACAAAAAAAATTATATTTACAAAAATAAAATAAGGTGGGGTAGGGAGTATTGATGATGAACCATTGTTTAGTGTTCATTGTTAAGAGTGAATATTGTAAATGGTTTGTTGGGTTGATGTGGATGAGAGAGAAATGGTGATAGTGACCCATGAACCATTTTTTTGTGTTCACCAATAATGATGCTCTAAAGAATTGAAGTATGATGATCGAACATGTATCGTATTGACGTATGAAGAACCAGATAAAGAACAACAAATAAATATGAAGTGAAAGTTTTTTTTTTTTTACTTCACTTTCGAAATTCGGGAAATATTCCAGATTAGCTATAGCCTATAGGTCTAGGTTACCTATGTAAATATTCTAGATTTTTTATACATATTTTGTAACTTTTTAGTGATGAAATGAAATAAATTTGAGATCTGCATATTTAATCACTATTCTTACAACTTTTTGCTCAAATATAGTACTCTCTCCAATTTTAACGTTCTGTGCATTTACTGTTCGTACGCTTTCCAATGCACATTTTATATCATTAATATATATAATTACATGTATGTCAAAATTATAACGATTGAATATCAATGTTGTACTCATTAAGACGAATTAAACAAGATCTCACTTGATTATAATAATTCTTATATATTGAGAGATAAATAAGAGATTCCTTCTACACGTGAATAGTGTAAAAAACACAAATGCACAGAACATTAAAAATCGGAGGGTATACGATTTTTTGTACTTCTTGAAAATTATGATTCCACAAATAATTCAATATAATGGCTATTATTGTCCTAGTTTACGCGAGTCATGTACAAACTTACGGCATACGTGGTTGCATGAGTATTTTTGATGCTAATTTTATTGTCTGCGTGTTTATATTAGAAGACTTAATTAATTCTTTGCACATCAAAGTCATAGATAGTAGGCTTACCAGTTTCAAGTGCCTGAGCTAAGGTCTAACTCACGATTACAAACTAATGTGGATGTAGGTTAATTACATACATTGACTTAGCTTGACTTGTGTGGTTAATGTTATGTTCTACTTTCCTATATATAAGTACGTTCATTCTATTCTGTTCAATTTGTAAGGTATTTTTGCCTTCTCTTTAATTCATTTTTCACTCATATATTATACCTTTAAGCAATAAGTTTTCTTAAAAAAAATTAAGACGTTTCATCTATTTCAGTTTTGTTTTGTTTTTTTTTTTCTTCTTTGCTTTCTTTTTTATCCTTTGCTAGCGATTTCATTAGCATTTCATAACTCTTCCACATAGCAGCTTTGCCACCATGATGAGAAGATGGCTTTGCTTCATTTCAAAAATGAACTAATCATTTGACCCCATTTTTCTAACATGTATTATGATGTGCATATTGAATCATTGTGTTATTCTTATCCAAAGACAAAATCTTGAAAAGCAAATAGAGATTACTGCTTGTGGGATGGTGTCACTTGTGACTCTACCTTAGGTCATGTTACTAGACTTGATCTTAGCTGTAGTCAAATGGGTGGGATCATCCACCACAATAGCACACTCTTTTACCTTTCACATCTCCGGTCCCTTAACCTTGCCTATAACAATTTTCACCCATCACTCATTTCCCTAAACTTTGGTCACTTTTTAGATTTGAAAGTGTTAAACCTGTCACATTCTGGTTTTACTGGTGACGTTACTATTGACTTCAGCTTTCTCTCCTAACTTGCTTCCTTAGATCTCACCATTCATTCTGTTAGGCTAGATATGTATTCTGCATATGTTTTTAAACAAGATTTACCATATGCTTTCTTAGGACTTAAAATTCCTCATGTTGATACAATTATAAGAAATTGTACTAAGTTGAGACAACTTCACCTCAATGGGGTGTTGATTAATTCAATCCCACCCCCCTCCCCCACCCCAAATAATAGGAAACCTTTCTTCTTTGTCATCTTTGCAACTATCCTATTGCAATCTACAAGGAGTCATCTATTCAAACATCTTGGCCCTACCTCAGTTACGTTTTCTCATAGTTGCATCCAATCCCAATCTCTATTGGAATCCCTCACTATTCAACAACTTGAGTACTTCTTTGGAGGTAATAAATTTCTCAGACACTAGTTCATCAGGTAGGTTTCCTGAATATACACTTGAAAGTCGATCACCCCGATTGAGAAATTCTAGCAGCTAGTTGCAACGTTTATGGAACTATATCTCTATGGATTTGGAACACAACAGAAGAGGTTTGGCTTGGAGATAACCATCTAACCGGAAAACTACCCTTAACAATGAACACAAAAGAGCTTTCACAATTAAGTTATTTTTATCTGTCGAACAACTTGCTAGAGGGACCCATACCATCTTTGTTGGGGAAGTCAATGGCCCAATTCCAAAAGACAATTGTTCACTAGAGGTTCTTTGCCTTAGCTACAACAACTTAAGCTTTCACCTCAATAACTTGTCAAAGTGCAATAATCTTTTTTCTATTCGCCTATCGTATGTATCAGTGACTGGAAGGGTCAATTCTATATTTTCATGGCCTAATTTGTCAGAATTGGATATGTCTTCTTGTAATATGTTTCTTAAATTCCCAACAACATATAGAATATTTGGATTTATCTAACAATGGAATTCAAGGTGAAATCCCATCTTGGTTGTATAATGTGGGAAAAGATCCAATGTTGTTTCTAAATATTTCTCACAATAATTTGACAGGGGGTTTGAATAATCTTTCTTGAAGAGTTTGGAATTCATTAATCTTCGCTCTAACTCTCTACAAGGTTTCCTTCCTTTGCCACCACCCAACACCACTATGTTTTTGGCTTCCAATAACAAATTTCACGGGGAAATAACCTCATCGTATTGTGACTTGACACGCATGAGTTATGTTGACCTCTCAAACAAGTACTTGAATGGAAAAATACCTAAGTGTTTAAGAAAGTTGAGTCATAGTCTAGAAATCTTGAAATTGGAGTCTAATAAATTTCATGGGATTATTCTTATAACATTTACAAAGCATTGCACCTTAAAGAGCATACACTTGAATAATAATCAGTTTGAAGAGACGGTTCCGCTCTCTTTGAAGAGGTGTAAAAGCTTGGAAGTACTTGATGTTGGTAATAATAGATTCAATGATTCCTTTCCACACTGGCTAGATAATCTCCCTGAGTTAAAAGTCCTTGTCCTCCGATAAAATAGTTTTCAAGGTTCAATAAGAGATGAGCTGAAGTCTAGTAAACATCCATTTCCTAAGTTGCAAATTCTTGATCTTTCTCACAACCAATTTAGTGGAAATTTGCCAGCGAGATACATCAGCAAGTTCAAGGGGTTGATGGTAGATAGCAGTGTGGGACATACCAAGACTTTGAGCCACATAGGCAACTTTTCTTACTATAGTTATGAAGACTCTCTTGTGTTGACAATGAAACAGGGCTGCTCTTGGGAAATATGTGAGGAAGGTGGCTACTAAGGAAGATTCTTTATGGGTAAGGTGGATTCACAGTGTCTATTTGAAGGATAAGGAGTGGTGGTCTTATAAGCCTAAAAAGAATGATGGTATGGGCTGGAAGAAAATTTGTTGCATTAAAGATGAGCTTAAGTCTGGTTTCAGTGATAATAGATGGCACACTAGCAAGTATAACATTGGTAAAGTTTATAAGTGGCTGCAAGGGGAGTTTGAGAATGTTCATTGGCAGACATGGGTCTGGAATAGTTACAACATTCCCCGACATTCCTTTATTGCTTGGCTAGCTATTCAAGGCAAATTAAAGACAAGGGACAAGCTGGTTCAGTTTGGGGTTTGCTTTGATGAGAATTGTCTGCTGTGTGGTGAGAAACCTGAGACCAAAGACCACTTATTCTTTGATTGTTTGTATAGCAGACGCTGTATTTCGAAAGTTGGTGCCTAGCTAAACATCACTGAACATCATTTCCAGATTGACAGATCCTGGAAACATTGGAGCAGGAATTTGAAGGAGGAAGTAAGGAGGAAAGTGGGTCTGGCTGCTCTCACTGCTGTTACCTACAATATCTGGTGGGCTAGAAACAAAGCTTTTTGGGATAAAGCTATTATCCACCCTGACAGATTATGCATTACAGTATGCAGGGAAACTGTGGACAGGGTTCAACAACTCATCAGCAGAAAGTGGAATATGAAACAGTGTAAATGGTTGTATAGTTTGAGGTCCTGTTTCCTAAGTAGTTTGTTTGCTTTTTTGTTGTTTTGTGTAATTAGTGTTGTTTCTAGTTGGTGATGATTGGCCTTTTTGTGGCTGATTGTAGTTCGGGGTTGAGGGCTTGCCCTCCTTTGGTAATAAAATTCTTACTTACCAAAAAAAAAAAAAAAAAAATGAAAGGATTGGAGCTGAATACCAATATATCCTATCCACTTTAAAAACCTTGGATTTCTCTAACAATAGATTTAGTGGAGAAATCCCATATTCTGTTGGCAAGCTTGTTGCACTTGTAACCTAGAATGTTTCACATAACCATCTCACAGGCCATATACCCCTATCCCTAGCCAACCTAACTTCCCTTCAGTCCCTAGACTTTTCGTGCAACAAGTTTGAGGGGAAAAGTCCACCACAGTTGGTTAAGCTCACATTTCTTGAAGACTTCAATGTTTCGGAGAACCAACTAATAGGGTCAATTCCTCGAGGCAATCAATTCAACACATTATTTTCAAGTAATTCATATGGGGGAAACTTGGGTTTATGTGGAGATCCATTGCCAAA